CAGTTTGGCTTCTCTAACAAGGGCAGTGACTGTTCCCCATCCCTACTTGTGTCATCTATATTCTAGCCCATGATGCCTGGAAATGGCAGTGGGAAAATCACAGACACTGTGTTTCCACAGATCTTATCTTGCTTATGTGCCACTGAGAGGGCCTTTTTAAAATTCGCTGCCTTTGGCAGAGATCCTTTCTGGGTATGTTGCCTGATAATAAGCACAGTGGGCCCTTCTGAGGTAGCGTGTCATTAGTCATGCATTCATTGCTAATCAAAAATTAATGATGATGATTATAATGTTTATTGATGCCATCTTCACCCTTAATGTGACTAGTTGGGGCAAACACAGTAAGCATTGTCTATAAATGTAGTACAATTTGTTACCGTGAAATCAGTCTGACTGCTGAAAATCTTGCTAAAGTCAGGTGGGGTGGAAGTTGTTGTGCTACCAGACGTGGTCGCATCGCTTCTCTGTTGAGCCCCTTCAGCTTCTGCTAATGGCTGGAGGGGATATGGGGGTCTATCAACCAGCTCTGGAAAGGAATAGGCATTATGGGTGATTAATGACAGGTATTTGATGGCCATCATCAATGTAGTATCTGTAGCTGTTAGCTCTATATACAGGTGCATCTCAATAAATTAGAATGTCATGGAAAAGTTCATTTATTTCAGTAATTCAACTCAAATTGTGAAACTCGTGTATTAAATAAATTCAATGCACACAGAATGACCACACCTACTTTTTCAGCTAATGCATTTCTTTAATCTCTAATTTACTCTTATTATCAAGGTTTTCATTTGCTCCCTGAAACATAAAGAGAGTTTCAGTACCTCAGAACAGACGTAATAGTCACAATTCAGACAACAATAACATGTCTGCAGCACCTAAAAGGCGAGCTGAATTCCATCCTTTAAACTCTGTGCTATCTTTTGCTCCGTTTCATCAATAGCCGCAAAACCAGAGATCTCTGAAAATATTCTGGGTTTTTTATATGCAATTATTTGTGTTATTTAATTTAAACGTAATGCTGTTTTTGTCTTATGTTTACATTTACCTTAAAGAATCTACAGTGTTATTTTAAATAGAATATTTATTTTTATTTAGTAGTACTGTCCTGAATAAGCTGTTTACATAGCAGATGTTTACATATTACATACAAATTAATAAAATAAAAATTTACATTTTTGTTTGGCATTTTTTACATTATAATTAGCGTTCTGCAAGATTATTGTAAACTTATGGCCACAACTGTATAATGTATAATATAATTTTATATTTAAACATAATGAATATTTGTGTTCTGAGTTAAGTAGAACAATGGAAAACACACACCTGATATCTCCTAACAAATCCTTTGTTGAGGCAATATCTTTTTCCAGTTTTTGTATCTTTTGCTGGTCTTTAATGCTGCCCTTGTTCTTATACTGCAGCCATACCTGCTGTTCCGCCTGCAGTTCCTTCACTTGCAAGCTTGCAGCACAGTTCTAAATATTAACACAATACTGCATAAACCACACAAACGTTTTAAAAAGCTCACTGAGGCACAGCAATGTACATTTTTGATTTATGGGTCACATATCACCATAAAAGTAGTCCATACTGTACATGTTGTACGCTATAGGTTTTCTGTAGCTGTATGATTTATTCACTGGAGCGTCTGCAGCTCGATAACTTATTCAATTCGTGAATGAATCATTCAGATCGGTTTTATAAACTGAACCATCTGTTTCACTGAGAAGATCCGACTCTTGAATGATTCGTTCCCAAACTGGACCTTGCTGATTCTCATGAACACACCAAACACAAAGCTATCATACATGGCTTTAGATGAGATTATGAATATAGCTCACAAGTCATTTTTAATTGTTTAATGTTCTTTTATGGTATTTTTCATCTTTTTTGAAGCTTGAAAAGTGGGAACATTCTAAAATGCTTAAAGGGTTAGTTCAGCCAAAAATTCTAAAAGTTTACTCCGACTCGCCAGTATTAACTTAGACAGTGATATTAAAATGTATCTGCTTGCTTGTAACTACACAGTATGTTTTATTAATAAGGTGTACTAAATTTGGTCTTTGGTATCACCGTCTTAGTACATGAATCCACACCTGAAATATGGCTTTAGATGTTGTTGAATATAGTGGAATTGTTTTATATTTTACATTTATGGTATTTTTGCATAATTTTTCAAGCTTGAAAGATTCAGTTCCCATTTATTGTAACAGTAGGTTAGAACATGAGGGTGAGTAAATGATGACAGTCATTTCTGAGTGAACTATTCCCTCAAAACGTTGTTATTGTCACTCAACTACCTTCTAGTTCTTTCTCTTGCTTGTGTTTTAGCTCCAGGTTCTCTCGGGCCATGCGCTCCACCTGCTCTTCATCTTCTCGCTGCCTTTGCTCCAGGTTCCTCTCCTGCTCTTTCATCTGTTTCTGCAGTTCACGCACATGACCTCTATGCTCTTCTCTCAGCTGCTCCTGCTGCAGACACGTGTTTGATTTTAGTCTTCCTCCATCATCTTCACAAACATAACATACCAGCTTTATCAGTTTTTTCTTCTTATCTTCTAGTTGGCATATTTCTTCCTCAAAATCTTCAATCTCTTTCATTTGAACCTGAATTCTATTAGAAGAGAGCCTATGTTAGGTCACAAGAATAGGCAAAGCAGTAACAATATTAAGCACCGTACTAACTGGAATTGTATGAAGGCCTCTGACAGAGACGGTGTATCTAATATCTCGCTCATTTTCCCTTATGTCAGGAAATTATCACCTTTATGACAAACAAACAAAAGCAACAGCATTTATGAAACTTTCAAAGAGACCGTGTTAAGATAACAATCTGTGGGTGAGAACGCAAACTAAATAAGACTACCTGTGACCTGCGTTTTCTTTTTTTTTATTCTACGTATTTAGTTTAAATTTTTCCGGATATAACACGTTGTTAAGGAAACTATCGTTAACTGCAGCTGTGAACTCGATCAGCAGGGGGCGACACAAAGAGCTGAACGTCAGGGAGGTCAGAATAAAATAAAACTACTCACGTTCATTAAACACTCTGAATCACAGGGAGTGAAGACCGAATGAATAATATAAATATTATTCCCTGTAATGCACAAGGCTTGGTTTTTCAGATTATGTCTTTATTGTTTTTATATACTGTACTGAAACCATATTTTTGATGTTTTATATAATTTACCTATACTTAAATTAATTAAACTCTGACTCCGTTCGAGATAAAGGTATCAAACCAACGGTAAAAATCTCTAAATATTATTCCCTGTAATGCACAAGGCTTGGTTTTTAAGATTATGCCTGTATTGTTTTTATATACAATACTGACACCATATTTTTTGATGTTTTATATACTGTACCCACTTAAATTAATTAAACTCTGACACCATTTGAGAGAAAGGTATCAAACTAACTGTAAAATATTCAGAATATTATTCCCTGTAATGCACAAGGCTTTGTTTGTCAGATTATGCCTTTATTGTTTTTATATATAGTACTGAATCCATATTTGTCATGTTTTATATACTGTACCCACTTAAATTAATTCAACTCTGACACCATTTGAGAGAAAGGTATCAAACTAACTGTAAAATATTCAGAATATTATTCCCTGTAATGCACAAGGTTTTGTTTTTCAGATTATGCCTTTATTGTTTTTATAAACTGTACTGAATCCATATTTTTGATGTTTTATATAATTTACCTACTTAAATTAATTAAACTCTGACTCCGTTCGAGATAAAGGTATCAAACCAACTGTAAACATCTCTAAATATTATTCCCTGTAATGCACAAGGCTTGGTTTTTCTGATTATGCCTGTATTGTTTTTATATACAGTACTGACACCATATTTTTGATATGTTTAATATACTGTACATACTTAAATTAATTCAACTCTAACACCGTTTCCGCTAAAGGTATTAAACCAACTGCAAAATAATATATCTGTACATTATATATATATATATATATATATCAGATTAATAATCAGAACAAATAAGCCTTGTGTCAAATCCGCCAGAATAATACTCTGAGTAATTTACAGTTGGTTTCATTCCATTAGCTGAAGTGGTGTTCAAGTTTAATGGATTTAAATGGGTTCCAGGGCTGTCTAAAAAAATTCAAGATTCAGTACTGTATATAAAAATATCAGATTAATAATCAGAAAAATAAGTCTTGTGCACCATGCAGAATAATATTCAGATTAATTTAGAGTTGGTTTGCTATCTTTATAAATTATCTCAAACGGAGTCAGAGTTTAATTGATTTAAGTAGGTACAGTATATTAAACATATCAAAAATATGGTTTCAGTACCATATATAAAAACAATAAAGACATAATCTGAAAAACCAAGCCTTGTGCATTACAGGGAATAATATTTAGAGATTTTTATAGTTGGTTTGCTTTATCTGAAACGGTGTCAGAGTTTAATGAATTTAAGTAGGTAGGCTATAGTATATTAAACATATCAAAAATATGGTTTCAGTACTGTATATAAAAACAATACAAGCATAATCAGAAAAAAACAAGCCGTGTGCATTATAGGGAATATTTTTTACAGTTGGTTTGATACCTTTAGATCAAATGGTGTTGTCGTTTAATGGATTTATATTATTGCATACATTAAAAGTAGTAAAATTATTATAAAACACATAAAATGGTAATTCCACAAACGGAGCTTTGTGCAATAACAGGGATGTTTTTCTGAACATTTTAGTATTGGTTTTATATAATGTCATGTAGTTAAATTGTTAAATTAATGTATATGGTTAATTTATTTTATTTTTTTCTAGAAATTAAGCCTTGTGCAACGTAAAAGGCATATATTTATGTCTATCTGAGTTAGTTTGTGCTCAAACCATAACAGGCGCAAAGAGTTTAATTGGTATGAAACCGAATGTCTAATAAATGTCAAACGTCAAACTAACTTTACCGCAGTCGAACACGCTTAGTGAGCCTCCTACCTACACAACATTTCTGGATTTCGTTCGGAACTCCCCACAAGTTTATCAACAAATTTTTAGCTCTTACTAGTTGTTCACACGCAGCCAGTGTGCACGCGAGCTCGTGGAGTACTCCCCCACACACCCACCGGTACACGCCTCACTTTAAAGCTGGAGATTTAAATCATTTTGTTCCTCTGGTGTTTCAGATGTTACAGTAACTGTGTTGGAAAATATCGCGGTCTGGCAGCCACACAAGATTCAGGTAAACTTTCGCTTGTCAGCTGTTTTATTTTACATTAATACTTCTTTCCCTTAATACTGTTTTTACCTTTTAAAACTTTAACTTCACTTAACAGTTTCCCTGCACTGCAGTGAGTTGGAAGATTTGCTGCATGCTGTGACAGGGATGGGTTCTGTTTCAACAGGCGCTCATTTCATTAGGTTGTTTCATGTCTGGAGTTTAGAGTTTTTATCTCTGGAGCCACTGTGAATGTTTTCTCATTTCCTGCTTCCTTAATCTGTTAATGCTTGTAAAGCTATTTAGGAAAGAATGCAGAGTATTTATTTATATCCAGCTCAGAGAGTGATTAGTTACTTTTTTTAATTTTTTTAAATACATAATTGAAGCATTGTTTTGGTTTAAGATATGTTTTCCCAAAAAATCTGCAAACCCCTTCATAAGATAGCATGTTCAAAGCTGATTTTTAAAAAGTATTATTTCATATGTAGTTTTCATATGTAGTTGTAATTTGATAATGCTGGCTTGGCACATGATTTACATTATCTTGGATGAAAAAAAAAACTAAAACATTCTCTTAGTCACTGAAAAAAAATCAGATGCTTGAAACCCTGTAAAACGGTTTGTAACAGTAAAACTGCAAACCTGTAATAAGTGAACCCAAACCAGGTGACAACTCTCTGTTACGGTAGATGCCTCAAAGGGATGTGGAACAGGCAAATGATTAACATGTATTATTCATGTTTCTGTTTGGATAGTTGTTCTCTATTTTGGTAATGGCGTATCCCTAGAGGATCATCCCACCGATGTTGTCATGACATGCCTTTCTCAGAACCACCGGACACTTTAAATGCTTTATTGTGTCATTTTGAAATCTGATTTGTACTGAGAGAAATCATTTAGCAGTGTATTTTAGATCAGAAATTTAGATTTTAAAAAAGTAAATATTTAAAAATTACAAAATAATCTGAAGAATCATACTGTTCTTCTTGGAACAAGAAGGAAACTGCTTGTCTGATATGATTTGTGTGTGTGTGTGTGTGTGTGTGTGTGTGTGTGTGTGTATGTGTGTTTTTCATGGAAATGACTCGATCAAGAAAATGACTCGGGAACAGGTTTCCAAAATAGGAATGTAACAACAAACTTCCGCTCTGGCTGGAATGTGTCATAGCTTTATCAAAGATATGCCCTTGCAAGACATAGGAACTTATTGCTTTTCATTTTTATGATTCATTTAGCATTAAATGTAGCCTTATTGCACACAATTATGCAAGCCAAATTAATCGGACAGGACAGCCAGAAAACTGATTATAGATTGTCATCTTAAAATATGCAAAATAATTAATAAATAAAATAAATAAATGTCAAATTTTTTATTTATGAAAAATGTCTCTCTGGTATAGACATTTGTTTATTTAAGCTCTCTGTAAACTATTTATAAGAAATTTTAAATACAGTTTATTCATAAAAGTCACTGTCACAATGCAATGAGAAGGAATTTGTCTCTTATTATGGCACAAAGCTCTTTTACAAAATATTTTGTTAGATTTCTTTTTCAGTATTTTTTTTCTTCTATTTGTTATATTACCTTATATAGACGTGTGGAATTCTGCCAATGGTCATTCCATCCCCAACAAATATCAAAATTCCAGTTCTTTAAATGGTTTAGACATATTCCTATTTTTTCATGGGTTTCTAAACTGTTTTTTTAGAAAAGCAGACTGTTCAAATTGATACCATTTGTGTGCTGCCACCTAATTTGAGTTAAGTGTAATTTGATTTAGGAATAAAAGAGTCTTTGACTGTGCTCTTTGCTCTGAGAAGCGACCAGTACTCATATCCTCTGATAGTCATCTGACAATGCCATGTCACATGTCCAGTGTTGAGCACATACTGTATGGACTGGAGTTGATATAGAGAAACAATATGTCATTTCAGATGTTTAGGGAAGCGTAGATGATGCTCGAAGCAGACGTCTTGAAATCCCGACTCATAGATTCAATTAGGATCATGTGATATCTTAATGGTCAGAAGAATTCACAGGAAAACATAGTTCTTTGTGAGCCAAGCTCATACAGTGTTTTTTTAATTTGTTGATACGCCTGTGTGTCTGGTGCAGGTGCTCCTCTGATGTTCTCCATGACGTGATGGAGTGACTTATCAAGCATCAGCCTTCAAGTTACCCACAGTGATGCTCTTGACACTTTCAGTGAACCAGGCGATCTGAGACTCATCGGTTAGCATCACTTACTCCGAAGCCATTCATCATGATTGACCTGAGTTATCTGACAGAGGAAGAGCAAGAGATGATCCTGGCAGTGCTGAAGAGAGATGCAGAGCTTAAGAAGTTGGAAGAACAGAGGATCAAGTGAGTATAGGGGAAAGGTTTCTTGATGAATGTATATTCAGGCGTAACTAGTTATTAAAGCGATAGTCCACTTATTACTCAAACTAATGTTGCCATTTACACAGAACGCATTTTTGCATTCCATATGTCCACTTCTCCAGTGTTTGTGTATGTAAACAGAGGAATGTATTTTACCATTGTTCTCACATCTCACGTCTTTTGCAGCGTTTTGCACATTCTAAAAATGTGTCCCTAAATTTAAAATAAATTCAACTTTTAATAAATGTGTCTGAAGACCTGTTTTTTTTTTCCTGTTCTTGAATCTTTTGCAGCATCTCGCGCATGATATACCGTTCTAAAAATACAGTGCTCAAGTTAAAATAATGTAATCTTTTAAGACTAGGCATTGTGTCTTTTTTTCCCATTCCACTGCCCTGTATCTCACATTTTTAAATGCAAAAATGAGTTCTGTGTGATCCAGGCCCTTATGTTATTCCAAACCTGTATTACTCTTGGGGTCCAAATAACACTGGAAACCATTTACTGTCAATGTATGGGCAATAAAAACTTTTTTTTCTTTTTCTTCAAAATATCTTCTTTCATGTTCCACCTATAGTCACATAATAATGGCAGAATTTTCATTTTTGGATGAACTATGTATACCTGTAAACTAATGCAATTTGGCTCCTTGCTATTGATTGCGTGTCTTAAATAATTGTGCATCCTTATTTATGTTTACCTTTTTGGATTTGTTTATTGAATTTATTGAATAAACCCAAACAATATTGACAGGTCTGTTCCAATAAGGTTGTGGATGGGAGAAAATAATACTAATAATGCTAAATGCAAATAAGAAAATGCAACTTGACCATTTTATTGTGCATAGTTAGGGTAGCAAACTACATAAGCTTATAAAATCAAAAGCCATTCATTCCATCAAACTGTTCAATAATCTGTAACTTGTTAAAAACGAGCTATATTAGGCAGATGCAAACATAAACAGGTGGTATGGGATGCCGTCATCCTTTACATGAACAAATGTATGAAAGAAAATGATCAAATAAGATTTGACCCAGGCTGCATTAAATATGGGTTACAGGTTGTGTTATTTGCCATTTGACGTCAAACAGAATATCTGGGTCCTGAATAAATAAATAAATAGTTCAGTTTTCACAGTTAAACTCTCTGGAGTAACAGTTTACAGTTCAGACAATGACTGGGATTTGTCTATGTGGATGTCACTAGGCTCAGCTGGGACTTCAGGATGTTTATATATATGTGTGTGTGTGTGTGTGTGTGTGTGTTTATTTATTTAGAAATTTGATGTCCTTTCAGGCAGCTTCGTAAGACTGAGCGAGACAGAAGCAGGCTGAAGTACTTGACAGGGGAGTGGTTTTATGAGACAAAGAATCACAGACACAGAGACAGGATCCATGGCACCGACATCATCAGAGCGTCCATGAGACAGAAGAAACCTGTGACGATATGTGAGTGTTGCCAGCGGACAGAATCAGATAAGAGGAGAACGTACTCTGTTACCCTCTCTCATTATTTCCATTACATGTACCCCATCCCTGATTAGCAACTGAATTCAGTGTTTGCATCACCCCCTTTTTTTTGGTATATATCACATTTTTACCTTTAATGAAAAAGCACCCATAAATCAAAGCATTTATCAAATCATATATCTCATGTAGTTCCACTAGAAGTTTTAAGATATGTACTTGTGACTGTAAATACATGTTTGAACATAACAAATGATCTCTTATTGCAGTGGAGCTCTCTCAAAGATGGTCTGAGAAACCCAGTTGTGTTTATGGTGAGAAGAAAGATGTGTACATCCCTCCAGAGCTTTTAGGACTCATTGAGGATCCGTCCACACAATCACACAATGAGAGGTGAGCTTTTGGTGTTAAGTACATTTATGATTCAAACATTCCAGTACAACATTTCATCTGACTGAAACGTGATGCACCACGGGCTGAAATATTGTTGATTTTCTTGTTTTTGTCATACCTGTGTTGTGAAATCTTGTAGAATGTACTTTGATCACATGATTTTATGTAATTAACTATGCTGGTTATTATGATACCTGGTACAAAATTGTTAAATATTGCATAGTTAGGTTGTGTTCATGCACCAAGAAAAACAAAACACTTTGTAACAATTATTAAGTCTTCATATAAGCACATGCCATGTTAGTCTATTGGTACAGATTTGTATTTGTGTTCAAGGGTGTGTGGAGTTTTGTTGGGTTTTTTAAGATTTTTAAGTGTCTGTGAAAGAAGTCTCTTATGCTCACCTAGGGTGCATTTATTTTTTTTCAAAAATACAGTAAAAACAGTAATATTTAGAAATATTATTACAATTTATAATAACAGCTTTCTGTTTTAAGATGTAATTTATTCCTGTGATAGCAGCCATTATTATTTAGAAGATTTACACTGGAAAATATAAAAAAACAAACAAAAACAAAACACAGGAAAATCTGAGTGGGTATGTGTTCGTTTAATTTATATATTTTCAAACAGAAAATTTATGTAACATTTTCCATATAAAATAATTAGAAATGCCTTGAACACAAATCAGTAATGGTTATAAAAAGTAGCAATAAAAAGTTGAGTTCCTAAACTCAAAATTGCATTTCTGTTATCAGTACCAAGCACACGCCATTGTTTTACTTGATTAAAGGAAATTACGGCGGCTCTGCCTTTTCAACACACCAACGCTGCATCCGCCCATTAGCCTGGCTGGACTGCTCATGTTGTCATCAGCAGCCTTAATTATGTGGACACTAGCTTTTAAAGCTTTCATATCACAGCTCATGTAGAACAATATGAAAAGAAAAGTAATCTGTCTACCAGTTAATGTATACTCATTTGTGAAATGTTTGTGAATTTGGCAGAGATTCAGGAGTGAACCTGTATTCTAGGTCTAACGTAATCTGTAGGGCAAACTTTTCCCATGTACCTAATGTTTTCCCAGACATTGGTGAGGGGAATCTGGAGCCAGTAAGGTGCTTTAGGGGTCAGATTTCACGTGCTGCTGTTTTTCCCTGTCTGACACCATGTAATGGCATTATACTGTCACATCGCAGCATGGAAACTTAGTGCTTGCTGAATCTTGTGACTTTCCAGGAGCTTCAGGACCAGCACCATGAAGAAGTATTGATGATTGAATATACTGATTGCATTATGCTGAACTGTTCACATTGCTCAATGCTCAATGCAAAGCTCTCAGTGGCCTATTATCATGTTAGTGAATCTTGCATTTAATTCATCAGAATTTTTTTTATATGAATCTATATCCTCCATACAGGGTGGAAGATGAGTTGTCGGAAGCCCAACAGGAAAGACAGAGACCTCAAATCAAGGTACACTACACAAAATGCATTTACTAAGATCATTTTGCTGAATTTTCTGTTTTATTCATGATGTATTTTTATGATTCCATTAAATTTATTATGTAGCCAAGGCAGAATCCATTCAATAGTGTGAGATCACAAAGAGATGAAGCCAGACTTATTAATGGAGTTAAGGAGGCTGACCAGACACCTGCTGAGGGTGAGAAATATCTTCTCAATTTATCCTCAAATTGATTTTGTACACTCCATAGAGTATGTTAATCTATAAAAATGTATGAATTAAAAAATCTTGGTGACAAAGATTGAGGCATTACGGGACTTGGCATTTTAATGCCGGGTTAAAAAAGTTCTCAATTTTTTTTATTCAATTCACTGATAAAATGTAATCAACCTAAAATCTGTTTTGCAAATTTTGCTAATTATATGGTGATTCATACTACTTAAAAAAAAAAACACACATATATATATTTCATAGTGATAGTGTTGTTTATCTAATAAAAAATCACCTTATGTGTAATTTACAACTAATCAGTTTATTGTGGTGTTATTATAGGTATTTATTTATATTTTGAATTAGCTTTTTATTTTCATTTTAATTTTAGTTTAATTTTAGTAATTTTTTATGTGCTTATATTAGTTTTTGTTTTTTATAAGTTTTTATATAATTTTAATTTCATTTTTAGTAATTTTAGTACTTAAACTTATTTTATTTCAATCAATTGCTGTCAACATTTTTAATTTTCGCTTTTTAAGTTTTTTAAGTTGAAGTTTTCATCTAATGATTATATTTTATTTGATTTCAGCTTTATTTTAATTACTGAACATGACTTTCAGTAGTTTTAGTTTTAGTTAACAATAACAACAATGATTTACAGTTTATAATGTAGCGTTTTCTATTAGAACTAGCTTTTGACAGATGATCTCTGTGATGTAACATATGTGATTACCATAGATTTAACATTTGTGTGATGATTTTGATGCTGTTCAGTCCAGTAATAGATGAGGTAACAGATGGGTTGTGTTTTTAAATGAGTGGATGTTCTAAAGAGCAAAGGGTCAGAACATATTTCTTGCAAGAACAGTAAGTTTGTTTGACTGATCCCCATTGAGAACAGCATGTTAACCTCTTCTGGGCTATGGTGTTGGCTTGACATGATCTGTGCTCTCGGTGTGATAACTCAGTGCTGTCTGCATGCATATCTGTTAATCCTGCATTTGGTTACTGTAGCTTGTATAATGCAACTCTATATTTGCATTATGTTGGCAAAAAAAAAAAACATGTTGGTCTCCGGTTTTTGATTATGAAAGTATCAAAAGCTTCTTTGAGGTCATATGGGAAAAAAATATTTGAGTGTATCTTGCAAGAACAGTAAGTTTGTTTGACTGATCGCCATTGAGAACAGCATGTTAACCTCTTCTGGGCTGTGGTGTTGGCTTGACATGATCTGTGCTCTCGGTGTGATAACTCAGTGCTGTCTGCATGCATATCTGTTAATCCTGCATTTGGTTACTGTAACTTGTATAATGCAACTCTATATTTGCATTATGTTGGCAAAAAAAAAACATGTTGGTCTCCGGTTTTTGATTATGAAAGTATCAAAAGCTTCTTTGAGGTCATATGGGAACAAAATATTTGAGTGTAAGCACTTAGTAATCAATTGCACAAGTACAACAATAGAGTAGCTTTGTATATTTCCAGGATTTTACTCTACTCTGCTTGCATAATTAGTATAGAATAACCAAATTGTAGTTTTATAATAGGCATTGATATGTAATGTGTGACATTTAGGGTTATTACAATACATGTGGAAAAAGTGCCATTCCTTGAAATGGTCTGGCCAAAATATTTCTGAAGAAAGTTGAACCTGTTGTAGTGGTCTGAGTAACAGGGCTTTATGGAGCTGCCAAACTTTAAGAAGATTACACAGAGAAATATGTCGTTCTAAGTAGTTAAGCCACCACGCATGACCAGTCTGTACCTCATACATAGATGGTACATTTTTATGGGCTTTTATTTTGTAGTAAGGCAAGTCTTAACGAGTGCAAAGGTAAATATAAAAGTTGTGAATATTTGGAATAGACCACAAATACATACACTGTAAAAGTGAAAATGTGATTTCAGCTGAACTATAGGCCAGTACTTGATATGGTATCAATATATCTATTATCCCTGACTAGAATACGCACCATCATATTCTTAGGTTGCTTGCAAGCTTTTATCCAGTGTATTCCATCTCATTGCTATACCATTCAAATTTCATCAATTAACAGATACTGTACTGCTGTTACAATAACAGACCTGTTCATTTAAATGCAAAATGAATTCATCATAAAACATGAATTCACATTTTTTGTGCATGTATGTGTCTTTGCTCCTTCTTTTACTACTTCATTACCCAACTATTTGGTTATTTTTCAGAACCTTTCCTTCCAGCTGACAACTACACACTCCATCACACTACTCTAAACACAGACAACACTGACACACATATAGTCACACAATGCAAACCTGTGCCAAAAAAGAGATTGCTGCTGTATTCCTGCAAGGACTCTTCCCTGGACACTGTCAGCAGTGGCAATGGAGTTAAACAGGTCGTAACCCCTGCTCCCAGAGGCATCCTGAAGAACAACATCTCCAGCTGTAGCTCTAATGTCTCCCTGCATCTCCACATTCCTATCAATGACGACAGCAGCAGCAGTCAGTCGTCAGCTACGGTCAGCCCTGTCAGTCCTGAAACTCCCATCAGCCCTCCTCTTTCCCCCTGCTCAGTGCACTCTGCGTCAGGGTGGTTAGATAGGAAACAGGTCCACTTCTCCTCAGTTGTTGGGCCCATAGAGAGAGTGCAAGGAGAGCACAGTGTGCTGGAAGAAGACTGGAGTCCTCTTTCGGACCAGGATAGAAGCCATATCACAGACAATGGTAACAGTTGTAGCCACGAGAAGTGCTTAAAAAGATAGTTTACCCAGGAAATTAAAATTCTATTACACACTATCATGTTGTTACAAGCATGTATTCGACTTTCTTTGGTCTGATAAATCCAAAATAAGATATTTTGAACTGTTTTTGTCCATTTAATGAACAACATTGGACCCCATTGACATTCATCGTATAGAAAAAAAACCACAAAAACATTCTTCAAAATGTCTTCTGTGTTCCACAGAAGAAAAAGTAACACAGGTTTGGAATGACATGTGGGTGAGTAAATTATGACCAATTTTGTGTTTGAATTTTAAATTTTGGGTGAACTATCCCATTAAAGCAGGGAGTTAGCATAGAGGCCTGGTCTAAAAACTTACACACAACAGCCTGGAGTCGTCTAAAAATCACGAGTGTCCCTATGTGATGAGCACTGAGCCCGTAGAAAGGTTCAGGGATGGACAGGTAGATGGGTTGTCCAACCAGACAGTGAGAAATGCTTGATCCAAACCCCTTTGGTAAGACACCCTGAAACTTAACAATATAATCAAACCCAAGAAATGTGTTTAAGTGAGATAATCAGCCAAAAAATCTATCAACCTGTAATTCAACGGTTCACATGCTAACACATCGATGTACCCTCATACTAACTGCATGTGCGTGCATATCTCATACATACAGCACATGGCTTCTGGTGAATGCTCATGTGTATGTTGATTAATCCACAAATGGTGATTAGTAAATAAGCACTGCAAGAAATGACTATTATCTGGGTGTTTACTGAAAGTTTAATGTGTAATATCATCATCTGATGACAAGTATTATTCTCTATCACTTACATGCAAAAATTAAGACTTTCAAACTTGTGATTGTTTTCACTGTAGGTTATCATGAGGTTTATGGTGAGCCTCAGTCCTCACAGGTGTCCAACTTCCACGACTCTACTGAAGTAAGAGAGGTGAATGAAGAGGAACCAAAAGATCATGAAAACCCAGAAGCCAAGTCAGAAGATTTAGTGCCTCCAGTTGTACAGCCAAAGACCAAGCCACCACCAAAGCCACGTAGGGGGCTTTTTGCATTGTTTTCGAGAGCAGAGAAAAAAGACAAGTGTTCTGAAGTTCAAGCATCTGACAAAGAAGAGATAAGTCAAGATAAAACAGAAAGTTCAGAATATAAAACATCTTGCACTTTGAGACCTGAAGATGATAATATACTTCCACAGACCTCTGTTTCTACAAACAGCAAGACTGCAGAAATACTGCAGGAAAAAACAGACAAACCAATATGCGAAGATCCTCCGCAAAGAGAGACGTTTGACCGAGGTGAAATATCACCAGGAAGACTTGCCAACCTGAAGTCATTCTGGGAAAGGGGGAACAGAGGGCCTAAAATACTAAGCATCAAAAAAGAAGCTGAGGTAGAAGAAAGTGAGACCTCTCAGCTTAATGAGAATTATCACGATGCTGTGGACAGAAGGTTGTCAGATTCAAGCATCAGCCCATCAAAACCCAATGATCCAAATCCAGTTGATGTAGAATCTACAACATGTGAGATTTCTCCAGTCTCATCTAGAAGAACATCAAATGGTGATGATATATTAGCCATATCCTCACATGAAGATGAGAAGCCTTCTAGTTTGGAGAGCAATAGGGTCTCAGAAGTTTCAAGCAGCGAACTACAAACTCTCACGGTGAAAATGAATGCCAAATTGTCACCCAGTTCATCGCTAAAACACAAAGATAAATCTCTGGGCAATGAGCTACAGGAAGAATCACTCTCCAGGGACATATCTGACTTGAAAAAGGAAATCTCCACCTTCAAAATGTCCCTAAGTCAACAGGAGGATAAAGTCTCGATTAATAATCTCAAGTCATTTTGGGAGAAAGAAAAAAGTGGCCTTAGAGTAATTGTAGGCTCACCAACGTGTACAGCTAACGTTAAAGATCAATCCCCAGAGTCATCTCCAAAACGTTCTTTAGTAGAACATTCTGAACCTCAGTTTGACATCAGATCAAACAACCCAAGTTCCCCAGAGAGAATGAGTTTCAAAGAGGCTGTTTTGACACAAAAAGAGAAGATGGAACAGACCGAGGAAAAACGGAGAAGTTCAAGTACAGTGCCATTACAAGACCTTCAAGATATCAGAGGTAGGGTACCTTACACCACCCAGAATATTTCTAATTTCAAACAGTCCATTTCAGACAAACATTCAAAGCCAAGTCCACCACCATCTCCCCTCAGAAGTCTCCCTGCAAAAGGTCAACATGATAAGCCACAGTCCACTGACATTTACCACCCAAAAGACCAAGATCAAACCAGAACACCCAGCCCATTACTGCAGTCTAAAGTACCTCGTAGAGATTCATATCCAAACAAAGAATCCAGGAAGCATGGTTCTCCCTTAAGAACCTTTGCGATAGATATCAATCCTGCCGACAAAAGTCCATGCATTGTAAGGGTTAAACCAGGGCAAACCAGGCCATGTACCTCTCCTGAACACCACAGGAAGACTTCAGATGGAGGCATTGATGTAAGACCCATCATGCCCAAAGAACGAAAGTTGTCAGCAGACTCTCTGTCCCGGTTTTATATTCCCCTGAGTTTACACTATTACCTGGGCGTACCTGAACAGGCAGTCTTAGATGAAAGAGAACAGGTTAAGGTGCAGGCAGGTGAAACTTTTGAACAGGTGAACCAAGGCAGAGTGAGCAATGAGAGCTCCCCTTCTCGACACTCCCAGCCTGAATCAGAGGAGATCACCTTTGACTCCTCTGGGAGCTCCACACCTGAAGCCTGGTCAATCTCACACTCCAGTTCATACTGTGAGCTCACCTCTCCATTTTGGTTCAGTTTAGTTTCGATAGAAAAGGCCTTGATTGGTTCTGTGATTTTTGTGGAAGCAGGGTTTATGTCCTTAAAGCAAAGTGCTCAGTGTGACCTAAGAAACATGTCCTACTTGATGCTTTGCTCAAGGTGTTGTAATTTGTAGACATGATAAAATTACCTACTTGTTCTACAGGCTTATGACTATTTAAGCCCTGCCTCTACGTGTTTCTATAATGATCTAATTCAGTAATCAGAACTTATTTCTTTGAAATCATGAAACCTTTTTTTTTTTTTTTGTAATTTTTAAAATTCCTGGTAAGTTTCAGTTTATAACATGGTACTTGAAATATTGTTTGTATTAGAGTCAAATGAACAGTACCTCTGACACTGATAAATCAGCTTACAATCATTAAAGTCTTTATTATATTGTTTTAATTTATTAAAATGAATTTTTATGTATCATAAGTAATTTTATTTTTTTGTGTATTTTTATATTTTAAATGTATAACCAATTTTAAATATTTTTTTATTTTATTTTTCTATATTCATGGAATTAATTAAATTAATTGTCTTTTTTTGTTGTTGTTGCTCTTATGTTATTTTTTAAATTACATTTTACCTAGTAATTACATATCAATTTCAAATCCTCTGAAATCAGAAATCTAATGGGTGGAAATGCCTCCTTAAATCAGTGTTTCAAATCAGATATTCAGTACTAATAGCTGTATATAATGCACCAGTAGACCTCTGCTTTTATATGGTTTGCTGATTCCTTCTTGATATGGGCTGTGACAGGGGACAGTGAGGATGACAGCCCTGTCAAAGCTGCCCTGGAGCGAGCCAATGCCAGACCCATCTCTATTTCCAAGAGTTTAGAGGACCTGGCATCCACACCTTTACGTAAGTTTCCTTCATCTTTTTTGCCCTATGTTTGGTTGACTTTAAAACCTCATTCAAGATAAAGTCAAAAATGTTTTGGTCTTTGATGATCATGGCTTTTATAGACCTGTTGCAGTTCTGAAGGTGTGACAGTCTTTTTCGCCCTCTGCTGGACAGTTGTTTAGAACTCCCAATGTGTCTAGTGTAATCAAAAGATAGTATACCCAGGTTTCTCGAGCATTTTTTATGCTGTACTGCATTTTACTAACCTTTTATTTTTGTTTAAATCTTTATTTAACAATACTTTGTCATCTGAACCAAGAAGAGAGATGGAAGACTGATCCGAGGAGTGACATTGGACTGAGTATGGAAAATGGTAAATATTTGTCTTTTTTAAGAAATATATTAATAATAATAAATCAGTAATAAAGTAACTACATTTCAAATAGTCTTTTAATGATTTTTAAATGATTTTGATATCAGCCTCTGCTATAGCTTTTAAACTAATGTTCATTGAGTATTATACATTTACATTATTAAAGTAACGTAAAGTAAAAGGCAACAATTAAAGTGGTTTGCATTCCGTACCACCCAAAACATGCATCTAATGGTGAGGTAGATGGAGTAACTAAATCAATTCTTCATATAAAATATAAAATGTGCTCTTCAAAATGAACAACTCTAGACACAAACTCTTCACAATTAGTTATTTCCGCTAAACAAAAAACTAAACAAAACTCAATATTCATTTAATCTCTATCTGCATCCATAATGGGCATCCACTAAATGACTGTCCTTTGTCTCAGTGTCTGCAGTCACTTCCAACACCAAAACGTCCTTCTCCGACCCAGAACAGGTGAAGATGATGAGTATGTCTGTGCCTGCATTCCTACAACAAGAGGTAAAATACAAACCAAAACCCATGAGCCTCTTTAATGCTAATGTTGAATAACAGCCTCCACCCTGGATTAGTTCTAAAAAGTGTTATTTTTATGTTTTAACCTATCACCAAACACCAACATTTGCTGCCTTTATTAACCTGCATAAATGCTAACAACCTCATGTTGTTTGTGTATGTGATTAATAGATGGCCTGCAGAAACAGTGACTGTGCCTCAGTGAGCAGTTTCCACTATGACAGACTGAGAACATGCAACACTCCTTCTAATTTTAGCACTTGCTCTGAAGTGGCCTCCATGTCCTCTGTATGTAACCCCTGTTTTTAACACAACCCAATGATTCTGAATAGAACTATTTTTGCTCAAATATAATGCAAATGAACATATTAATCTATTTTTTTTGCCCACTATGATAACATGCTATTATAAAAAGATTTCTGTATGGATCTGTGTCTTTATGGGGTATGTATAGGTCACTGGTAGTGTAATGAGCATCTACAGTAGTGAGTTTGGTAATGTGGAGGTCAAAGGCACAATCCAGTTTGCCATTCACTACGTGCAAAAACTGGAAGAGTTCCACATCTTTGTTGTGCAGTGCAAGGACCTCGCTGTGGCGGATGTTAAAAGGAACCGATCTGATCCGTAAGCGAACTAATATTTCTCTTCAGGAGAATATAAATTCTCTCAAGATGGATAAACAATAATATATGTGCTTTGTCTGATTGAACTTCAGGTATGTTAAATGTTACTTGTTACCTGACAAAGCAAAATATGGAAAGAAAAAAACATGTGTGAGGAAGAAGACTCTGGATCCAGCTTACAACGAAATCCTACAGGTATGAGAATTCTAAACTTCTTGAGATATGTTTTAAAATGAATTTGATGATCAAAGCTGTCATTTCTGTGCAGTTTAAGATTCCAATGGAGATGTTGAAAACCCAGAAGCTGAACATCTCTGTGTGGCACAATGATAAGTTTGGGCGTAACATGTTTCTTGGAGAGGTTGAGCTCGATTTGGCCGAATGGGATTTCAGTAATACTCAGATGAATGAATATTTACTCAAAGGAAGGGTAAGATATCAATAGTCATGTCTATTTTGGACAAAATAACCTGTTAGGATAGTTTTTAACTGGTGGCTTACAGACCAATCTGTTAATATTGTTGAAAATATGGACAGCAAAATAAATGTTTTTTTTTTTTTTGAGAAAAATGTGAACAATACATCTAAAATCCTGTTTGTATGAGGTCATGTTTGTTGGAATTCCTTTAAAGTTTGCCTTTCTTTATCAACCCAGGTTCAGGTTCCTACCAGCCCAAAAAATTCTGTCGGCAGCGTGGAAATGAGTGCAGAGATTAAAGTCGCACTGCGTTTTGTCCCACAGACTTCTCACAGTAAGCTGTTGACATTTGACTAAAAATATTTTTTTAGAAGCATCTTCCTTTCTGATAACATGTTAATTCTGTAGGTCACAAGAACAAGGGGAATGGTGAGGTGCAAATATGGGTGAAAGAATGCAAGAATCTGCCTATTACCAGAGGTGTTGCCATTGACCCCTTCGTGAAATGGTATTTATAGCTGTTTTATTGGATACATTTGTATATGTGTTGGATCATCAGATGTGGGATGCCCATTCTGTGTGAATTTTGCCTTTTCAGCGCAGTCCTCCCAGATACAAGCCGAAAAAGCCGTCAGAAGACCAAAGTGTTGAAGAGGGCATCTAACCCAGTGTTTAACCACACCATGGTGTATGATGGTTTCAGGCAAGAGGACCTCAAAGAGGCCTGTGTGGAGCTTACTGTGTGGGATCACGACAGACTCAAAAACCACTTCATTGGGGGTATTAGGTTGGGTCCTGGAACAGGTAATTGAAAGAGGAATTACAGCCATACTTAAAAAAAAAAAAAAAAAAAAGTAAAATTGTCACGACTGATTGTCAAAATTATCTTATTGCAGGAAAAAGTTATGGCACTGAGGTGAACTGGATGGACTCTAATGTTGCTGAAGCAGCCCTGTGGGAGAGAATGATGCAATCTCCGAATGAATGGGTGGAAGATATTTTACCTTTGAGAATGATGGTCATGGCAAGAATGTCTAGATAGTAAGAAACTGAGGCATGGTGACACTTTTGAACAAATACATGAAAAATGATTGTGAACATGAAGAATGCATTCTATAGGAAGATATAAGGTATGTAATGTAGGAACTAACTTGATGGTTTCTTGACATTTTTGTTGAGGAAAACAAAGAGAATGACAAATATAATATGCCTATTATTGTAAAGTAAGTGGATGTAATGTCTTAAAATAAAAATGCCTGTTTAAAAATATGTCAGTTTGCTGCAGATAAGATCTTTTGTTAATTGCCACGAAAGAGCACTAGAAGACACTAATTTTAATAAAAAACGTTAAATTGTCCAACTGCAATCACTTGTATATGTAAAATTCTGAACATCTAGTAATAAATACAAAGTAAATTTTGTTGTGTGGAAGGAACTATAGACTGTGACAGAAACTGATTGTGGAAACAACAGCATTCAATCTTTGCTCCTCCTCTACGAGAAGCAATGCTTACGTAAAGTATCGCGATGTTTCAGAACTCGCCATTTTAGTTCCTCTTAGTGTCGTTGGAAGTGCGTTGCTTGTCATTTGGCTTTGCAACGTCTGAGCTCATATAACTTTTTTCTTGTTAATTGAGTTTTCTCGTTTTTTTCCCCTCAACCAATCGACGTCACAAGACATCAGTACTCAATTTAAGGTAAGTTGCTTCGGTTATAAACAAATATATAACTGTTAAGTAGTTTGCTTTACGTGAGGAATCTGCTTTGTCACGCAGGTCAAGGCGCGCTGCTGCGGCCTGCTAACGTTAATCGAAACCTCTGCGAATATTAAATCCGTTGTTGTATTCGATATTAAGAGTTGTTTACATATTGATTATTATATTAAAAGAAAGAGGATGCATTGACTTAAACGTATTTTATAAAAATACCTATATATCAATGTTTTGTTAAATATTGTTTGCTAACCGCGAAAGAAGGCATCTGGATGTTTGGTCGTTTATTCTTTGCGATATTTTAAGTTGGAACTCCCAAAATTTACATAATTTCGCCCTCGCGTTTGACTTTATCTAAGTTAGTCGAATACAGATGGAAATGTTCAGTGGATTGGCAGCTTTATTTACCCTTAACTTTTATTGCTTCTCCCCCATATAAAATAAAAAGTGAATGGAGATTAAGAATGTCCTTTTCCTTAATATAGTTTTTGTGTTCTATTTCTTCTTCCGTTTTTTGGCGTGTTACATCCTGTGTGCATATCGCCACCTACTTTTGCTGTTATGCAGTCATGGTTTATTTATTATCAATTTCTTCCTTGTTTTTGCTTTTCCTGTTCTTACACACGTATATACACAAATATTCCTACTTAAATAATTATTCGATGCTCCATCCCATTCATTCTCCCCAGGCTCCACCTGGCGCTGCGTGTTCAGCTCCTGCAGACTAAATCCGTGGTCTCCTAAAGATCCAGAATAGAATAGAGCATCCGCATTCTATATTTAAATCCTTTCACTTAACCCAGTAGTATATATGTATTTTATTAATATCCTGTATCCTTCTCTATCTCTGTTAAACTCATATCCTAATAAGTATTTTTGTGAAGAGAATAGTGCTTAGTGAGTTTGTTTTATTGAAGTGAGCAAATTCTTGCTGTTATTTATTTTCTGCTAATTTCCTAATGTTTTATTTCTATGCAGTTTACACAATATCTAGGAACACAGCCATGATCACCAGAAAAAGAGGAAGAAGCAGCCTAAGCGCTGACATCACATGCACAAGTACCTCCCAAGAGATTGATAGTGTTTCGAAAGCCAGTGATACAAGTGAAACGAACATGCTGACTTCTCCAGAAAGCGACACCAATGATTGGGGCCTGGATGACCTGCTTGGCTCTGGGCTCAACTGGGACCTGGACAACGATGTGCTTGATACTTTCGTCAACTTTGAATCACAGACGACGACCAGTGATGAGACCGACCAAAGCGCATTGCTTGACGTTCCCTCATTCCGCAGTAGAGGTGCAGTCCAGAGGTCAAAACTGCAAGGTGTCTCTGGTCGGATCATCAACAAGAACGCCATTGCAGCGAGGATGAACCGATTAAAGAAGAAAGAATACGTCAGTGGCTTGGAACAGAGAGTTGGTTCTTTGATGACAGAAAACCGTGTTCTCCAGCAGGAAAACGGGAATCTCAACAAGAGAGTGGAAGAGTTGGAGAATGAAACTAGGTACTTGAGAGCCGTGTTGGCCAATGAGAGCATGCTGGCTCAGCTGTTGTCTAGATTGAGCGGTGTGAACGGCATGAAATTCTCTACCTCACTTTTCCAGGAATCCAACGAGAACGACCACGATTATGCCATGCCGAGGAAGAGGGTGAAGGTGGAAGACAAAGATACTGCAGGTGGCGTCTGCCTGCATGTGGACAAAGACCACGTCTCGGTGGAATTCTGCACCAAATGTGCAGAGAGTTCAAGCTTGTCGCATAAAATGTAGGGTCAAGTATTTTACCTTTTCAACGTTTCCCGAGACTGAACATTTGCACAAGATGTAAATGAGGGGACATGACGACAGTAGTTGTCAAATATAGATTTAACTGTTTAAATGTGTGCAGAGCTTGAATGGCATGTCTTTTGAACTTGCTTTCAATACAAGTTACTGCTAAACTTGTTGACAGTTTTTTTCTAGGTGCTTGGTCCGCCATGCTGGATGAGTGGGTCACAGAACATCCTTGACTGCTGAAATCCATGGTAAGGATCAAGCTGTAGAAGACTGCACAGAACTGGTTAACTCCTAAGATGAGGACAATGCTTTTTGGCAGTTCACGGCACAATATGAACTGTAAACAAACTATAATTTCTGTGTTTCATTTTCATCTGGTATCTGTTTAAAGTATTGAAGATAATCTACAAAAAGAAATTAAGCACTGTTTTTTGAATTACATACTTTGGATGTTTATTGGATTATTCAATTGTTGTATGTAATTTCAGTTAAAATAGACTTTGAGGGAAGTAGTTAAGTAGACAAAAAAAAAAGTTAAAAAGAATTATGTAAATGGGTGATGTTTCACAAAGGGCTTCCGCGTATATTAATCTGTTATGTACCTGTTTATTCAGTGTTGGTACATTGATGTTGATTTCAATACAAGATTCCAGGCAAGTTTGTATTTTGCTGAAAATAGATGAGCCCTTTCTGAAATATCGCTATTTTTTCTAAAGAATGTTTTTCATGTAGAACCCTTATTTTTCTTTATGCTAAAGTGGATTTTGCTGTGGGGAAAGCAGAAGAATCGGGACCAGCAGCTTGCATCATGGCCTGGTAAATTTAAAAAAAGGTAGTACACGAAACCGTGTAAGTTACAGTTTTTACTGATTCTTTATCACACCCCTAATGACGTCAGATGCTGTAATGCTCGTTTAGCATCTAAATGAGTATTTAAACTCTCCTGTTTATAGTAATGTTTGACTACAGTACATTTTACATCTGTGTCATTTCCATGTGTTTCATCTTGATTTGTTAAAGCACTTGGGCTTTATTTGACAGTTGTCAGGAGAAATGGTATGTTCTAACACAGAATTTTCAAAGGGTCATGGTTTTTGAGTATGATCATCTATATGTGAGCTGTAATGGAAATCCAAAGACTGCGGGCACATGGCTTCAGCTGTTTTGAAGTGAAATGTAATAAATTTTCATTTGAGTAATGCAAATTGTTTTGTGTCCTATTAAGATGTTAACTACACTCTCCTTCTCTTTTTAGACAGCACTTTCTTCGCTCTCTGCAAGAGCCTTTTCTTACTTCTCGTCAAGGTGGATAAAGAGTGGTGGTGGTTTCTCCGTTATATACAAATGTATACTGCAAAATTCCTTAAGGGCTCTGGTAATTCAGTGACACCCCAAAAAACAAACACACAGCTATTCTGTTTGGGCCATTGTTGGTCAGGTCTAATGACTGTGGCTCTCCAGCGTTGCAGATCAACCCAAGCAGTTCTGAAATGTATAACTGCAGCTGATTTTTCTTATCCTGGTACTCCGTACTGCTGTCGGTGTAAATGGAACATCTTAATGAATATTTGTGCCAACACTGCTGTATCAGATATAGAAACTTTTTGTTCCTGTGGTAACAGCTTGTAGGATAATTTCAAAGTGATTATAAAACTACCTTTTGAAATATTCAATGTCTGAAAAATGTTAGTGTCCACAAAGTAAATTTTAATGTTATAGTATCTCTCATATTGATATAGTTCTCATTGACCCAAATATTGTAGTATTGACTCAAATGTTATAGTTTTATCCTGGATTTTCTGAATCACTGTGACTGAATTGAATTTTGGTAATCTTATTTAAAAGCTAATGCTGGTGTTACTCCGATTACATTTCAGAACGGTTTGGTCGATTGTTGTGGGTAGGGAATTGGAAATTAGCTCAGATTAAAAGATCTCTTTGTGGCAGTAAATGAGAGTTATAAATAAGCTTGTAAATAATGCATAAGCTTGTTTTCCAGTGCATTGTTTTTATTAGTAGTAGCTAACAAAAACTGGTAATTGATCCACATGTTCTCCATTTGATAATTTTATTAGTTGTACATTACCAAAAGGCATTTGTGTTTACACCACTTTTTATCCACTATTTTTCTCGCACATGCACCCAAACCAAATGGTTTAGGCAAGGCTCTAATGAATGTTTTGTAGTATCTGGTAACACAACGTCCAGGCAGTTTATGCTATTCAGAGACTTATAAGAAACTACATTAAATGTTTTCAAAAAATCCTCAACTTGTGATTTAGGATATTTTTGGAAACCAGTAGATTTCTACCTTTTCAACTTTTGGGTTAAGAGTACAAAGGTATAGTTGAATTTATTGATAAGTTACGTTTATTTATGGGGGAAAAAATATATACAAATATATGGGCAAAAATACATCAAAACCAAGAACAAAACTTGATAAGACTGGGTCATGGCACTGGATGAGTGTTTCACTTCTTTTAATAAGATTTACAATATGATCATTGTCATCAAAATACCTAACAATAACTGCTAACCATGAAGCTCTTCGCTGTCAGAATCTGATGTTTTCAGCATTTTTAGGTAGATGTCAAACTGCTTCGAGCTCAAGTAGGATCCAAACAAACCCTGCAGCAGTAAAACAACATACATCTTCTGTACGACGGGTTTGCTGAGGTTCGTCCAGAAGCGTATCATGTTCCCCTTCTCTGGCATTGGTGCACTGTTATACCTGCAAGACAATTGGAGATCAGTTATACATAACTTGCCACATTCTATTTTTAAGAAAAGCAGTATGTAGTAACACTGGACTAACCTGGCTGCAAGACCAGCATTGACAGGTAAGGCCAACAAAATGGGATATATGCCACCACCAACCACACCAACCAAAGCCCCTCTAATCAGGGTACAGGTTGGGCAGTTTAGATCACCTGCAATTGCAATGTAGCTACTCAATACAATGCAGGACATTCAGAAACGCTCAAGGAGCTTTCACGTGACTTGCTCAAGGGCGTTGCAAGGTAACAAAGAAGCGTAAGGTGCACAATAAACGCCCAACAAAACGAAATTAAATGTACTTGAGCTTAGAACGTAAAAATCCTGGTAATGGCATCGATCAGAAATAAACGAGGTGTCGATTAAACAAAATCTATCCGATCATGTTTTGATTTTCGTACTGGCGCGTACACATAACGTCATTTGACTGTACCAATAACGATTGGCTGACGTTTTCGAAGAGGTCAAAGTTGAAGTTTAGACGCGAGTCACGTGGAAACCACTTAATACCAATCTTCATACAATCCTATATCCATTCCATACCTGACATTAAGGGGTTTGAGACGGTCGCAGTGTACAGTGCTGCAGTTGTCAGAAAGGGAAGGACAGCCATGGGAAGGCTGGAAGTAAATCGTCCTTGGGTGACATTTAGTACACGTCTGTAAAAGCTGTTGGCAATCAAGCCAGCAAACCCAGCGTTGCCAGCCAAATATATGGGGCCGTATGAAAAGAGTTTTCTGTTGGGGTCAGAACAGGGAACTTTCATCAGCTAACTGCAGTGGGGGAAACAAAGTTGTGACATATTATATGTAAAAAACAAACAAACCCTAACTTACTTGTCTATATCAGAGAGCCTTTCAAACTTCTTATTCAGCGTTTCAGTAATCTTCGCCCTGGATACTGTATGGCCTTGGCCTGTTTCTTTCACAACCGTCCCGTTGTCTGTCATGTTGATCTAAAAGGGGATACAGATATAATATCAACAAACGGATTCATAGCAGACAGACAACCTTCTAACAACGTTGTGACAACATACTTAAAATGTTGATATTTCATTTTGGTGACCTAGAGACTATCACAACTACTGTACATGTAAACGTCACTGGCCTGAAGCGCGAAATTCGGCTGTTTAAATATCAACGGTTGGTTTGTCTGAAGAAAATCTGCAGCGGTTGATCGACCAGTGAGTTTTGCTTTTGTTTAATTTACATTCCAGAATAAGATTAATAATAACTCAACGTATTATTATACTATTAATTATTTTCATACATTCTATACAGCTTGCTATCTGGATATCCATGAAATTCATATTAATCCTCTGTAGAGGACATATTTTAGTAAGACGCCTCTTTATGAGCTGAACTTGATATGACATTATATGGAATTTTAAAAACGCAGCGCTCATAGCAAGAGACGCATCGCAACGGTCAAAGCAGTAACTCATTCAACCGAAATGGCAGCTGGTTTGTTTTGCCTGTGTTGATGTGCAGCTGAACGTCAAACACAGTCGTAATACTGTCTATTTATTTACAGCTTCATTTGCACATGGTCACTACCTCATTTATGCATAGTAGGATTGATACTTACATACGAATGCGCTTTTACATAAGTGCTAAATTATTTCCATCCCCTGTTCAACAGTCACGGTCCTCAATGCCAGCAGGGCGCAGCCATGTCTAACCACATGTTCCAGTCAACTTTCACCCCGAGATCCAGGAACAATACGGCGATTCCTATTGGTCCATGCGTGGGCCAACTGACCGAATGAACGAACGCCATTGGTGGACGCGCCCTGTCAATCACCGCGGGTCAACCCTCTCGTTGCTAAGGCGAAACTGGTGATGATGCTGCTGGTGATACTGCACCCACCGTAGAGAGAGTCTGCAAACCAGCTTTGGCAAAAGATGCCGTGAAAATTCACAGAAAAAATGACGGGAAAGGAGGTGAAGTTGTTCTTAACTGCGTTTCGGGACATTTGACGAGGACCTTTGGGATATATTTGCTCAGATTGGCTTAATTACAGAGACAATTGTGGAGCCATGCGTTATCGGAAAGCTGGATGAAACTTGCAGGTGTTTTCCGACAGGCGTCGCACCGACAGGCTGCTGTTGGGGGTTTCATGGGGAAATACATCCTGCCTTGTTTAGTTAAATCTGTCTTCTGTCTCTACCTCGAGATCTGGATTTCACACACCAGTTTGCCTGTATGGTGATGGTTTTGCTTGTGTCTTGAAGCTGAATTTTTAAGTGACGTTAAACTGGACAGAAAGATGATCATTAAAGTCTCCAATTAAAAATTTTTTTTTTTTTTTTTTCTGTTCAAGGATCGGAAAATAAAACACAAAACACGTGAACTTCATTCTCTCGTACAGAACAAGTCGTTCTTGAAGAACTGTTTACAAGCATGCATCGTTCAACTGACACGGGCACGAGATACCAGGATGTCATGCTTATTTATTCATCAAACTGTTGCTATTGACAGTTTAAGGATTTAAAATAATGCTTGATCAGCATATGTTGACTGAATCTAATCCAAGACAAGCCATGCACTGGAGACCCTTTGTGATTTGATGTATATAGCCCTTTGGGGCAAAAACTAGTGGTTAGATTTAGTTTAGATAGTCACTGCGCCTTTAATATTTGTCAGAACTGTATGGGTTGTGTTATGGACAGCGTGATTGAATTATGTTTATGTAGTTAAACACCAAAGGCATTTAAGGAGTCAGTAGTTGCGCGAATATTCCAGCAAAATAATCCTCAGAGAGTTTAATACCGAGAGCATATGGACACTGGAGAGCAGTCTTGATATTTCTAGGACTCATACACACCAAGGTGCACTCGATCAACATCCACTCTTTCTATCGGATTATGGATTTATTTCTCATGTGCGACAGTCATGCGCTCAGCATGTGTTTTCTTCTGCAAGATGTTTCGGCGCGTGTCTCTTCCTGTTTAACTTGACAATTACAAGCAACGACCCCGAGAGCTGCCATTCTGTTCGCTTTTACATCTACATCAACGAAATGAGTAGGAACTTGCTGCTTTAGCAGGTGACACTTTCTCAAAAACACTGACAGCAGATGAGGGCGAAACTTTTGTGTTGCTGTTTCCATGCGTGACAATCCCACAAGGACATAAAGGAGTAATTATGCCCTTAAGAAAACGAGGTGAGAAATAAACATCAGCGTATGTACATAATTGTGAAAACATGATTATTGTATACAACAACTCGTTGACATAATGTGTGGACTTTTTTTTTTAAGGCGGCATTATTTCAGGTTAAAATTTATATGAATGAATAAGATAAATTGTACACTGAAAAAAAATAGTGTAGAAACAATTTTTATTCAGAAATAACTAGTAAATTTCACAAATAATTACAAAGAAATTGCAAGTGTCACAGTTTTGAAATAGAAATTCTGAAATACTATTTTCTTGCAAGACGTAAGCTTCTCTAGTAATCTGATATATTTACAAACTTGAAAAATCTTTTTTTATTTTTACTTTTTAAAAAATTGTCTACGGGTGACAACTAACAGAACCTAGAACACGCATTTTATTTCTTTTTGTGTGTTCTTTTTCATCATTTTAATCATATCTAGTGAAGATAAAATTATTTGAAAGTATGAATATTACGGTCTCTTGATATGAGGTCATACAAGCTGAATGCATAATGTTTATTTGTCAGAATGTGCAAAATGTTTAAATATAGCATGACATATGTCAATTTCCACATGTAGTTATATTTATATAGTTGTGTCTTTGGGTAATGCAGAATGTCAGGAGTCAGGACTGGTTTTGGTGAATATGTTGTGGTTGCTGAAGCAGGCAAAGATGATCATATTATAGCAGGACTGTTGTGGCTGTGCCTTTTATTATGCTTATTTTATTTTGACTTCTGTACCTTCTAAGCTTAAAATATGCAGTAGGGACTTAAAACTGTGTAATTATATGTAGGCATACTAGTAGTGTAATTACACTGTGCTGTAAGTTTGTAGTCTGTAAAAATAGACAAGTATGGCCAACTTGCCATATGACCTCGGATGATCTCGGATGCTGGATTGTATTTATATTTTAGACTGTTATGCAGCTATGTCTTTAGTTACTCTTTAAACGACATGCATGTCTACAAGTCTTTTTTTTAATGCATTTTGTAAAAGTAGTGTATCTCCAATTTTATTGTCCTAGTAGTTAATCATTAGCAGAAGTCTCATTAATGCATGCACAGTAATCATTTTCAAATATGTTACTGATTACAATGTATTTTAAATGTTAAAGTTTTATGTTGCTCAGAGGGCTCTGTTGAAGACAGGAATTAACCCCCGTCCTGTCCCTAGTGTCTGTTTGTCTGTGTGACTAAGAGACTGAGTCATGCTCAGTCACTCTGATGATCTGTGCCAGTAGTAAAGAGTCTATCAGGGTCTCTGTACGTTATTAACTGGTTTCCGTGTTATAAAAGCATGACAGTTTCTCTGCTGTGTTCTTAAAGGATGTCCCATTGGAAGTAAAACTTGGTTATCAGTTTAGATTGTCATTCTGAGTCATTAAATTCAACACAAATCACTATTCGCAGCTCATTTTACTTCTAATGTGACATACTGAGTGAACCCTGCATCAATGAATCATTCACAGTTTGACTAGGAATGTGCATTAAAGGAATAGTTCACCAAAAAATTTAAATTTGCCAAACGCATCACAATAATTCACATGACTCCAGTCCATTAGTTAACATCTTGTGAAGCAAAAAGTTGTGAACAAATGCATCAAAATGCTTTTAACCTCAAAACGTTGCTTTTGACTCTATCCATAATACTGCTTACTGCAGTGAAACAGTTGAATCGTCTGAATCAGGAGAGAAAAATGCACAGATCAAGTACCGTTTACAAGCGAAAACAGTTCTTAACAAATATGTCAGTGGATTTTGATGTGATAAGACAACAGGGGACAGACTTTATAACTGAAGGAAGCATTATTTTGGATTAAGGACTTAGGCCGGAAGTGATGGTTTAAAGTTAAAATACCTTGATGGATTTGTTTCTTACGAACATGCAGCTTTTTTTCTTCACAAGACATTCATTGATTGACTGGAGTTGTGTGGATTATTGTGATGTTTTTATTTTATATCAGCTGTTAGAACGGCAGAGTATCCATTGGTGAGCAAGTGATGTAATGTTAAATTCTTCCAAATCTGTTCAGATGAAGAAATAAACTCATCTAACTGAGAAGTTTTCATATTTGGGGTGAACTCTTCCTTTAAAAAAGTAAAAAGGGGCAGTTTTGATTTCATACATTTTCATTTTTATTGTTTGTGAGCGAGCACTCTAAAGACATTTATTTAAAAATAAATGTAATAATAAATAAATAATAATAATGCATGTTATATGTTCCATGTTAAATGTTGTATTAAAAAATGCCAGTAGCATAACATTTTTTTCTGTCTTACAGACACAGCCAGGGCAATATGCCTCCTGGAGGACTACTGCTCCAAACTGAAGAAACCAGAGGAACAACAGCTCAAAACTGCCATCTTAAGAGTCATGGGCATTTTCAAAAGCAGTCTTTTCCAGGCTCTCATAGGTAAGCTTATGTTTGTAAAAAGAGTAATTTTTCTTTTTAATAGGGAAATAGGTAAATGAAAGCACAAGATGCGAAATAAAGTTATTTATAAGTGATTTTTTCAGCAACATACAAATGTTACTCAAATTGATTTTTAGGATATTTGCTTGAATTTATTCACGCCAAGAGTGTTCTAATGTTTATTGTTCTAATTTAAAACAATGTTTTTATGTCTTGAGGTCAATGTTTTCATTTTTATTATTTGTTCCATTAAGGTTGCATGTGCTTTGTCTGCTGATGTGACATTTGCTCATAGTTCATTCTTAAGCAGTGGGCACATTCTGCCACTTTAGGGCTTTTTTCTGAAATAAAGTTATTTTTAACCTTGCTGATGTGGCAGGAGATGCTTCTCTGTGCCTCTGGTATTTTAAACGTGTTCTTCATAAGCTCAAATCTCTGCAAGGCAAGCTTTTGTCTTTTCGGTAAAGGAGAATCAGATTGGTTTTGAATCTTGATTGGTTCATACTCAAGGTCAAATGCAGCTTAAGGACAAATGCTCTCATGTGCTTTTAGTAAGTATAAGTGAGGTGGTTTTGACTTCCATGATTTCCTCTTAGTATGTTATTAAATGTTTAGACACTTCGTTAGTTGAATATAGAATGTACAATTGATGATTCTGGAATCTGGAACATAACGTCTTGTCTTATAATTTCTGTAATGAGTTGGACCACTGTGCTGTCACAGTCTGTTAACATTCTCACCAGGATGCGGATATTTATTCTGGTCTAAAGCAAAGGTTAATTCGATCAATTAGCAAAGAAACTCAGAAATGTGCAGTGCGGGGTGACCAATGGTCAGATCAGCAGCTCGTCTTTTCTAACTGGTTTTGATTTTGTAGCTGAGTGCATTTGCTCACTTTTAAGAAATGTAAGTGTAAATGTAACACCATTAGGGCTGTCGCGATTCGTCGATTTTATTCGACTATTCGATTTTTAAAAATCCTCAACTTCATTTTGCTCGCGTCGAATAGCCGGCAAAATACCGGAAGTGGCGCATTTCACGGACGTTTGTTTATAATACATTATGTATTTTAACAGTTTTGTTCAATAAAACCATATGACTTCTTGCTTTTGATACTTTATTTGAACTTATATAATAGCAATGAAGCAATAATAATATGTATTTTAAGTAATTTAAAGGCTATTGTTCACTTACATATTTTTATTAAAACAAAAAAATTTATTATAATTATAGGGCACTATGAAATGTGTTTTATTTCCAATTTTTTTTCCATTTTAATTTTTCTATACTCCGTTTTAATGGTTAAATTAAATGTTATTAATCAAAAAGTCTGTCTTAATTAATTGAGTTTTACAGTTTTGTCTTTACCAAATTCTGTTTTCCATTATTTTCTGGATTCCATTTTAATAGTTCCATTAAATTTTTTACACTATAATACTGAACTCTGATTTCAGTGATTTGGACTATGAGATGGACACTTGCTTCTTGCACTTTATGTTGTATTTTACTTTTTTACTTTTGGATTTCATTTGGTTTAATGAAATATAGTTTAATAAAATATTCTTAAGTAAAATTGTTGATTTTTTTTGGTGGGAAATTAATCGTTTAGATTAATCGATAAATTAGTCAATAGATTAATCTAAATAAAAATAGTCGTTAGTGGCAGCCCTAAACACCATGAAGTACTTTCTTATTTCTTTGAAAAAAATTGCTTTGTTTATATATTTGCTTTATGTAAATATTCCTTAGGTTTTCATGAAAGTGTAGGAAGTAATTCAGAGCTTTGTGAAAATTACAGCTTTTGCTTTAAATGGTAGTCGGTCATAGAAGCACTTTAATGCAGAATTTCTTAATCGTACACTTATGTTTTAGCTGCATTTGCCAAGATTTTCTAATCAAGGCCCTATGCTTGCTATGACTTTAGCTCTAGGTTTTAAAGGGGTCATATGATGCGATTTCAAGTTTTCCTTTCTCTTTGGAGTGTTACAAGCTCTTGGTGCATAAAGAAGATCTGTAAAGTTGCAAAGACTAAAGTTTCAAATCCGCCTCGTTCTAACACGCCCCACATATCTACGTCACTATGTGGAAATATTAGCACAATGCGCCCATATGTGCACGCAAAGAAAGAAGGCGTAACTTTGATTCTCGCACTGATGGTAAAACTAACGACATTATTAACTGTCTTGATATTTACTTTGAAAGCTGAAGCGATTATGGTAAGGAGCGTTACATTTCCAACGCGCTTGTGGTGTTTGGCCAATCACAATGCACTGGGTCAGCTGGCCAATCAGAGCAGACTGCGCTTGTCAAAGGAGGGGGCTTTGTTGAAAACGACGTGTTTGAGAGAGGCGGGGCATAGAGGACCTACAATAATGTACAGTATTTGAAAAATAATGTGTTTTTTGAACATTAAAGCATGTCAACATATTCTGTTACACCAAATACACAAAATAATGATCTTTAAAATAGCATCATATGACCCCTTTAAAGCTTTTACTGAGTTGGATGAGAATTAGTCATGCAGAAAAATTGCGTAATTAAAAAACAGTGTGTTTAGATGCAATATGCTAAATCATAGTTGTGTGTTTAATTGCTGGTGCTGTGGTATTATGATCTGGGCGCAGGGATTTAGCCTTGGATAGTGTAATATTTGTGAAATATTGCCTTCTTTTTCCTGTCCATAACCTGAATTCCTTTTTTTCTTCTCCGACCTTTACCTCAACCCACTGATTGTGTTTGTGGCAGATTGCTTTCTATTAATTGGAAAAGGTGACGTGATCCTAACAGGCCTTCACGTTCTTTGCTGCCCTCTTGCAGTCATTCACAGATGACTCCACCTAATGCATTTAGAACCTAACTGTATAATTAGCTTGCATCTTTGATACTAAAATCAAATTTAAACAATCATGTAGATCTGTCAAACTTGTCCCCTTTCTGTTGATTTTCTGTAAAATGCTGTTAAAGGTTAAGGTCACTGCCTGAAATAGCAGTAATCATCTTAGAAGGCATTAGCATGAGTGTAATCTGGACGGTTTGCCATCATGCCAGAGAAGTGCAGCCTCTTAACTGCTTAACCTACTCTCGCTTTCACCAGGAAACATGTATACCTGACAGCATAGGTTGAAAATTCTGTGAAAATCCATTCTGAGTGTGCAGGTTCACTTGCGGTGTTTCATGAAGAAAAATCTGAAATAAAAATGGTTTGGTACCTTGAGATTCTGATGGTTTGGAACCCTAAAGGCCCTGACATTTTGATCTACAGAACATTATAGTAGTAGTTATGGTAGCTTTGGCAGTACACAATAGCCTAAATGAAATGGCCTGTGTTATTTGTGGCAGGAAAGCTGCGAGGTTACTATAAGGTTGTATCACACCGAGTTCAGATCATTATAGTATTTTACTGTTTGAATCAAAAGTTCTCTGTAATGGCTCTGTCTTTTTTTAGAGTCTGTCCTTTTTGATGAGATCACAGCTGCTCATTGGAATCCTTTAGATACTGAGCCACTGCGGTCTAATCGTGAAACCAACCACAATGCCAATTTGTTCCATAGAGGTTTTTAATGGGCCCTATTTGTCACTGTCATCTGAACAAGGTTGGACACTGCCCTCTTAATAGAAGAGCCATGACGGCGCACTCCTGTTTCACAGAGAGACCGTCCAATGAGAAGCTTTTTTTTTGCTCCTTCAGAAGAGCCATGACGGCGCACTCCTGTTTCACAGAGAGACCGTCCCATGAGAAGCTTTTTTTTTGCTCCTTCTGCTAAACTGTAATCAGATCTGTTACTCTTGCAGGAGGGGGAGTTCCTGACACCAGGGGATGGATGGCGAGTAGCAATCTCTATTTGGTCCAAGTTCCACAGCTAGAACAATACAACTGTTCTGCTACAGTTTCTAGAGTTCCAGAATGCACATCAAAAGTTTAGTCTGGCTTTGTGTCATAGACAGCAGGATCCAATAAGGATTACAAAGTCCGAATTAGATCATTTATTGTGTCTCTGTATGTGTGAGTGTGTGTTGTTCTTGCTTAATTCATGTTAGCATTCGCAAATCCATTTTACTACTATAATTTAGCGTAATTCAGAGAGAAACAGAATGTGGGAAAAAAAATGTGGAATAGGAATTTATACATCGGGAATTGATTGGATTGTGCAAAGTGGGCGTTATGTACCAAAATCTATTCAGAAGTTTGAAGGGGAGGAGTTAAAAGAGGGAATGGGGGTGTCAGCCATAAACAAAGTAATTTCTATGGAATGAGAAATTTTGATTGAAAGTTTGATTTCATTGTGACTTTATGGTTAACACGTTCACTTCAAATATTTTACACTTGAATATTTGACAGTTTAAAAAACTCTTTGAAGGAAGAATAAGATTAGCAGTGATTTTTTTTTGTCCTGTTCTAGAATAATCTAGTCTCCCTGTAGCATGCTCTCCACTGTTAATCCTGCTGCTTTGTGATAGCAGCATGCTGGACCTCTCTCTCCGTCTTTTCTCTCTCTCCCTTTCTCCCTTTTTAATTTGTCTCTTCCTGTTTATTTCCCTTAACAAGTGGACGTGAGTTTATGTGCCTCAAATGGTGGTGGAAGCCATGCCTCAAATTGGAGGACTCTGGGTGAGGACTTTTGTCAGAGAGCGTTGGCTCTAATTACAGGTCAGTGTAATACTGTTTGTCAGTGAATGTCAGGTAAATGTCTGACCCAGATCTGAGATCAGTGGCTCATAGTGTGTTTTGTGACTAAGTTTTATTGGGAAAAGCAGCATTGTGAGAGTTGTGAAGATAGTGAGTGAGTGTTCTGAGTGATTATATGAGTAAGGATACTAGTTTTCCGACACGTTGTATGAGCTGTGTTAATGGGAGCATAGATCACAGAGGTGTTGTTACAGATTGTTTATACATTGAGGCTGTGTCCTTAAAAGTTAATGATGAAGTTTTATTTGAAACTCTGATATGCATTTTCCTAAAAAGACTGCAAAAGGTTTTAGATGGTAATTCAATTAACATTCTGAATCTTTTATGTTTATTATATTTACGCAGAACAGAAAATCTGGAGAATTACATCATACCATGATGTCTGTTTTCATTTTATTTTATTGAATATTTCTTTAATGTTATTTTTGCATGCCTACAGTAAAGCTTCACCCAGAAATGAAATCCTAGTCATCAGTGCTAACCTGTACGCTGTTGTTGTTGTGGAACACATGTAGAATTTATTGCAGTCGTTATGTAGCTCTTGCCATAAAACAACGGTTTAGTTTACAGTGACCATGTCTGTCAAGCTTTGAAATAGATGATGGACAAACAAAATTAGATGTGGAGTGACATTAGGATGCGTAAATGACAATTAACTTTTTTGTGTTCCTTTAAACTCTAGTGTAAAACTCTTTTTCACATTTTGCTTTTTATGACTTTGAATCTTGGCGTGTGGATAAACAGCCAACCTATGTGTTTTTTTTTTATAGTATAATTTGAGTTTATAATAAGCCAGTGTTTACAGAAATGTGATGCCACATGCATTTGGTTGAATACCAGCCTTGGCCCCACCTCTGAAACAGATGGCTGTAAATTATTAGATGCCCTCAAGGACAATAGAGCTTCTAGGAAGATATTAATGCTGGTCTAAAGATGCAAATGTAATGTGAATATTTTCCTTACCAAGCCTTTAGCTCCAAAGTACAACCACACAGTAACTGCAGAGCCCACTTCTGTTTCTCTGCTCAATTATGGCAGTGGGGCTCCAGTCCTCTTCATTTAAAGAGAATAATGTTGCCATCTTGTGGAATTTTGGGGGAATATTGTTTGAAACCAGCCTATTTGATTCGGATATTTTTTCACAGAATCAATGGTTTGTCAGGCCCCCATAACTGGTCATGATGTAAATGTTATTGAGGTTTGAAATATTTTAGATTAGTTAGTATTTCGTTAGTTAAAAATAGTACTTACTGTTTATTGTTTATTGTCTAAAATCTAGTGGATTGTTTTATCTTATGTTGCATTATTGCACAAAAAAACAGCAGCTCAACTAAGAATAAGTATAATAAAATATGACAGCTAACGATTAAAATTCACACAAAACTTTTCACTAAATGTAAACAATAACAAAAATATATAGTATTTACAGTGTATTTTCTAATGGTTAAAAATATTAATTAACTGGTCAAATTATATTTGTATAGATATAAATATAGGCATTTAATCTAAATTAATGCCTTTAGATTTATTTTATTATTATTATTTTTTTTATTAAGTAGCCTAAATTCGATGTACAGTGCAGTGGTGGTTGGGTTGCTGTTTTCATGCTGTTGTCGTAAGTCTGTGTTTCCAGCAGAGGGAGTTCTTTAGGTCTGTCTGGGCAGAGAATGTAGAGCTTTGACAGAACTAATGAATCATATCTTTTAGGGTTGAATAAAAAAATGAAAGAAATAAAATACATTAAAATACATTTCATACCATCTGAATACACTATATATATTTCACTCTTTCATTTTTCTAATGTTTTCTATTTGCATGAAGGCACTTCCAAATGACAACAAACTTTTAATTCGTAAGCATATTTAGATCATGGAAATCAAGTATCAAAATATTATAGATCCCTTAATATTTTATTACAGATATCTTAAATATTAAGATACCTTAAAAAACTTGAATAAATAGTAAATAAACATTTTCTAACAAAAAGTGCAAAGTAACAAGTAGAAAAAAGAAAAATTCACAAATAACTTAGATTTTTGCATCTACAGATTTTTCCGGACCTTCTTTTTACGAGAAGCTGCAAAAGACACAGGCGCAAGTGGAATGCAAAAAACATGGTGACATTAATTATTATGTAAATATAATGGGCAATATATTGCGTCACCAAAAATGATTGAGGTCATGTACATATATTGTGCGATAAGTTGATATATTGATTATTGCGACAGGCCTAAGAACAAGCCACTTTTCCGTATCAGACATGATGTTTAATATGAATGCACTTCTGCATTTCTCTGAGTTCTGTGATGTATAATTGAAAGAACTTTCAAACACAACGCTATCTGATGTCAGTGGAGGGTGTCTTTAAAACAACACGGTTTGCATATTGAATGAAATGATCGAATGTACTTCAACTAAAACTTTTCTACTTGACTTTGAAATGGCCCTTTTAAGCTAGTGTTGGTTTAGGATGTAATTATGAAGAACAGGAAGTGTGAGGCAGCTCTGTGAGTCAGACTTACACCTGTCATAGTCTTTTAAGATAAGTATCATATGAAATGTGCAATCTCTGGCTGTCTCCATGGTAACGCAGACCTTCAGCAGAAAGGGTTCCAGTGTCATAGTGAGCAGCCTGCAGTTCTTCAAACAGAAAAACTTATTTTCAGAAGACGAATGAGTAAAGGTAGTGATGCAATTTAGCATAATTTTAGATAAATTTAGCAGAGCACCAGGCAGCACTGCAGCAAATTAGACCAGTTAAGAATTTCCATAACTGCTTATGGCGGCATCTCATATCTGATGGTGTTCCATCAGCTGTTTTGAAGCTTTTGTTATGCTCCACTTCCAGATGTGGCATTCCAGGATTTTCACAGTGAGGGAGGATAAAACTTTTACAGCTTAGATTTATCAGTCACTCCATTAAAAGATTTGCATCCACTTTTTTATAATATAATCTGGGTTCTTTGTCCCAACCAAACATGGTTTGCACATGCTAATAACAAGCTAATCTTCAGCTGTTATGAAGCAGTTATTCATTTCATATTGGACAGATCTCAGCTAGTCACATTATTTTGCCAGTTTGTTGGTGGAGCAGAGAAATGCAGAATTATCAGAGTCGACAGAGGCAGCATGCCAAGAGGGAGAGGCAAGCTGTTCTTCATGTCACATCAGTATTTAGAGTAAAGAGTGGGAGCAATTTACTGGTTTGTTTTGGAACAGAAACATTCAGTTTTCTAAATGTGAGATGCTAATGATAAAAAAGAGCCATCTGATGTGTATCAGTCCTGAGATTTTATCTTCATCTCACTAAACCAAAAGAAGGCATTGCCAGGGAATCAACCTTATTTTCTGTAAGACTATCAAATCCATCACATTCTCTAATCATTAGTGGCACTGTACATAAACATAAAAGAATAGTTCACCCAAAAATGAAAATCTGCAGAAAATGCACTTGGATTTTTTGGAAGTGTGACCTGCCGATACCGATTTTTGCCAATTTTCTTTCTAAGAACTATAATTGACAGCATATACAAACAAAAATCTATGCAAATTTCAATGCAAAAATTATTTACATAACAAAAGAAATGATTGAACATTACAATTCCCCCAATCTGGACTGTTACAAATTTTCTCTCACTTAACTCTCAAAATAAAGTGCTCTGTGACTGGAAAGAGGAATAAATAGTTAACTTAAAATGAGTTGCTGTATGTAACAAAACAGATGTCATTTCCCACTATGTTTATTAATGGTCATTTCCCCCCCCTAACCTTATTAAATGTGTCATCTTTCACATCAAATTCTTACTTTGTTTCAATTAATCCAGTTAGAATAATAAGAAACTGTAGAGTTGTTACCATTCAAATGAAATTAGTATTAACAAACTCTGTCTTTCCACTGCTGAGGTAACAGAAGCTGCATCTGAAGTGGCATTAGATGCATTTACACAGAATTTTTTTTATTTTACACTGCAAAATTTCAAATGCATAAATAATTTTATAAGATTAATGTTTTAGATATTTTTTAAGCACAAATAAATGTTGAAAAAAATGCAATGATACTTTTAAATATGACTAAACTACCAGTAGGTGGCGGCAAGTGTCTGTTTTAATGAGTGAGTCATTTATTCATTAATTTAACCGATTCATTCAAATGGCTGATTCATTCAGAAACGAGGCAAGTGACTGTCCTTATGAATGGGCCACTGAATCATTGATCACTCGATTCGTTCAAAGATGTGGATTCATTCAGTAACGAAACACCTCTGTTTGTTGCTTGGAGACACAAAACAGTTCTGCTGTGGCTTTGATCGGAACTATTTTCATCAGTGAAATTGAGCAAAAACAGTCAATATTTTGTCTTAAATCTAAGTCACTTAATTTTAACTTCTTGTTTATTGAAATACTATTGTATAAAATCAGTGTCACTTTGCAGTCGTGTTTTGATTGATATTCGAGGAAACATCATGGCCGTATAATGTTGCTTACCTAAATCATATTTTGTAAATATCTTTTTTTTTTTCTACCGCAGTATGCATCTATAAATTTCTGAGTTACTTTGTGTGTGCTGTCTCTCTCACACACTCACTCAGGCTGTGCAAGCATCATCTGGCACAACATAAATACATTATCAGTCGCTGTTTACAATGAATGCAATTAAAATTAGAATCTTTCTCACGCGAAACGACATATTTACACGCGACTGTGAGTGTGTGCGTGGCTGTGACGTCATTGCCGGCGCCGCTGGCAATAAAAGGATCGGCCCGGAATCGCAAGACGTGATCACTGGCCGGTCAATCGGTGCATCTCTACTCACAAGCAGATTCTCTGCAGTAAATGGGTGCCGTGAGAATGAGAGTCCAAAAAGCTGTTAAAGACATAACCATAATCTACAAGTAATCCACACAATTACAGTACATCAATTAATGTGAAAAGCTGTTTGTAAGAAAAAAAATCCATTAT